TTGTGGTATATTGTGATAGTTTCCTTTCTGTTTGGGGAGGGAGGTGGAGGGAGTTCTTTTTTCTTGATGATAATTACTACTTCCTTTCATTGCTGAGTTTTCTTTGTATCTATTGTCAATTCTTCCCACACGATCCAATTAGCTCTCGGTACAGTTCTCCACAAGGGAAATCACATCAAGTAATCTACCAGTTCTTGTTTATTTTGCTTGGACACATCTATCCCAGGGATGGCCCTTCTTCCCTCTGTGCTGATTGCTCCTTGGCCAATTGCATGGCTGTCATCCTGGACTCCCCTTTGCTGTCATCCTTGGGATTTCCTTTCCTTCTCTTGGATTGCATTCTCTGATTCTGTGATCTCTTAGTTTTCTGTTTCTTTGCTCTTTCTCTTATTTAGGTAGACCATATCCTCCAGAAGTTGCTTTAGGTTAGAAACACAGTACAATGGGAGAGGATGATGGTTATGGCAGTCCTCAACACGCTGGGCTCTGAAGTCACAATGCTTCAATCTGGATTGATAAGTGCATTATTTTCCTATTGCTGCTGTAACAAATTACTACAAAGTTAGTGGCTTAAGACTCCACAATTTATTAGCAACAGTTCTGTGGGCCAGAAGTCTAAAATGAGTTTCACTGGGCTAAAATCAAAGCATTGACATTCTTTTCTGGTGTCTGTAGGAAAGAATCAATTTTCTTGCCTTTTCCAACTTCTAGAGGTTACTGGCATTCCTTGGAGTATAGTCCCCATCTATCTTCAAAGCTAGAGCAATGGCTGGTTGAGTCTTATATTGCATCACTGTGACACTGACTCTTCGGTCTGTCTTCTACATTTTAAGGAACTTTGTAATTACATTGGGCCCACCTGAATAATCTAGGATAATTTCTTCTTTTCTTTTGTTTTTATTTTTTTGAGACAGAGTCTTACTCTGTTGCCCAGGCTGGAGTGCAGTGGCATGATCTCGGCTCACCGCAACCTCTGCCTCCTGGGTTCAAGCGATTCTCCTGCCTCAGCCTCCCGAGTAGCTGGGATTACACACACCCGCCACCATGCCTGGCTAATTTTTGTATTTTTAGTAGAGATGGGGTTTCACCATATTGGCCAGGCTGGTCTTGAACTCCTAACCTCGTGATCCACCTTCCTCGGCCTCCCAAAGTGCTGGGATTACAGGCATGAGCCACTGCGCCAGGCCGATAATTTCCCTATTTTAAGGTAAATTGATTAGCAGCCTTAATTCCATCTGTAACCTTAATTCTCACTTGCCATGTAGCATGATACATTTATACATTCCTGAAATTAGGACATGGACACCTTTTGGGGCTTATCATTCTGCCTACCAGTTATTCTTTATACCTGGTACTAAGCTGTTATCCTGGGATCTCCCTTCACTGTCATTCTGGGGAGATTCCCACGCAGTCTCTCTAGTACTAGAAGGCCCATTTTCTCTCTATCACATCTTCTACTTTTTCCATTTACTCCCCTGTTTTGGGGGAACCATTTTCAGCAGCTTTCTGTAAAAGGATGCATGGGAGGTCAATTCTTTGAGACCGTGTATGTCTGAATTACTTGTCATTTTACCCTCTCACTCGATTTGATACTTTGTCTGGGTATAGAATTCCAGGTTGGGAATGGTTTTACTTCAGAGTTTTGGAGGCATTGCTCCATTGTCTTCTTGCTTCCAGAATTGCTTTTGAGAAGTCTGAAGCCATCCTGGTTCCTGACCTTTTCTCCATTTCCTGTTTTTCTCCCTGCTCTAAATGCTGTAATATCTTTACACAATCTTCTAAAATTTCATAGTAATATGCCTTTGTGTAGGTCTACTTTTATCCATTAAGATGGGACTCAGAGCACTATTTCTTTTTTTTTTTTTTCTTTTTTCTTTTGAGACTGAGTCTTGCTCTGTTGTCTGGGCTGGAGTGCAGCAGCACCATCTCAACTCACTGCAACCTCTGCCGTCTGGGTTCAAGTGATTCTCCTGCCTCAGTCTCCCGAGTACCTGGGATTACAGGTGCCCACCACCATGCCTGGCTAATTTCTTGTATTTTTTGTAGAGATGGGGTTTCACCATGTTGACCAGGCTGGTCTCGAACTCCTGAGCTCAAGCAATCCGCCTGCCTTGGCCTCCCAAAGTGATGTGATTACAGGCGTGAGCCACTGCACCCAGCCAGATTGTTTTGTTGTTGTTGTTTTTTACTTTGGTTTCTATTTCTTTATTTTTTTGCTATTCCTTTTGAGAGATTTCCTTAACTCAACCTTTCTATTGAGTTTGTTATTTCTGTCATATTTTTATTTTCTATGAACCATTTTTATTCTCTCAATATTCCATTATTTTTTACAGTACCATGTTCTTATTTATTGGATGCAATATGCTGTCTTATTCTCCAATGATAAGTTTTACACTCGATCTTAGCCAAAAGGCCGAGAAGCGATCTAATGGTAGTTTTTAAAAGGATGGTTTCTTTTCTAGGTATGGTTTCCGTTTCTCCAGATTGCTATTTGTTTTTGTCTTCAATTTTAGAGGCCTTCTTCAGATGTTTGGTATGTTGGTTGTATGCTCATGATTAAAGGTGCGCTTGCCGGGCAGGGCGCGGTGGCTCACGCCTGTAATCCCAGCACTTTGGGAGGCCGAGGCGGGTGAATCACAAGGTCAGGAGTTCGAGAGCTGTTTGGCCAACATGGTAAAACCCCGTCTGTACTAAAAATACAAAAATTAGCCAGGTGTGGTGGCGGGCACCTGTAATCCCAGCTACTTGGGAGGCCGAGGCAGGAGAATCGCTGGAAGCTGGAAGGCGGAGATTGCTGTGAGCCGAGATTGTGCCACTGCACTCCAGCCTGGGAAACAAGAGCAAAACTCAGTCTCAAAAAAAAAAAAAAAAAAAAGTGCACTTACAACCATCATGTTCAGTTGAATTCAAAGAAAACCAATTCATATTACTTAGTGTAAACTAAAATAGTTAACAAATTATATCCTAAAAACAAGGTCTGTTGGTTAAATGTTGTGTGCCCTAGGTTTTAAAATTACAACATCTAAATACAATTTCTCCTCTTAAATTTGTTAAGCTAAATATGTATTGGTTCTTTTTATTTTAGAATCCTTAAAGCATCTTAAACAGTTCTTTTTTTCCAAGAGAAATTACAAATAACATTTCTGTCAAATGGTACTTGTGTAAAGCCACCTTTCTTATATTTAAGTTTTGGTTTTTCAGTTTTATACACAATAATACTCACTGTCTTACTATCAGAAAATTATTTTGACCAAGATTTATTATTCAACTTCATAGATTAGAAAGAGATGCTAATTCTTTCTCCTTATGTTTTCTTTGTTATTATTCTCTTACCCTCTATATATACTGGCCTCTAATGTATACTGTAAAGTCATTATGTTGTTGAGATAACTTCATTATGATTTATATAAACAGAGTATCTCACCTCTTTCTTGCTGTGTTGCCCAGGATGGAGTCCAATGGTGCGATCTTTGCTCACTGCAAATTCCACTTCCCGGGTTCAAGTGATTTTCCTGCCTCAGCCTCCTGAGTACCTGGGACTATAGGCACATGCCCACCAGGCCTGGCTAATTTTTGTATTTTTTGTAGAGACAGGGTTTTACCACGTTGGCTGGGTTTGTCTGGAACTCCTGGCCTCAAGTGATCCACCTGTCTCAGCCTCCCAAAGTGCTGGGATTACAAGCGTGAGCCACTGTACCCAGCTGAGCATCTCACCTCTTTCATACTGTTTGCTGAACAGTTTTCAGTTTGTCAAAAAAAAAAAAAAAAAAGTGGGGATTTGCTACTGGATGGAGCTCTGAGTGAGTGGAGGTGGGCATAGGGCAGTGGCTTGCTGACTTTGAGTTTCACTGCAAGATGATCTGGGTGGGCTGTTTGGGAATTCCCAGTTATTTGCATTTGGGCCAGATTCCCCAGAAAAGTCTTCTGGACTCTTGTGTGGAGGGTAAAGTTCTGGGAACAGAGAGGGGTAGGAGGTCTGGGAGTCTCACATTTAGCATCTTTACAGTCTCAGTCTCTTGATTGTGGTATGATACCCACATTCTCACATGTGCTTCTAGGTTTCTAGGCCCCGAAGCCTTCTGTTGTACCCTCTGCAGAGAATAAACTTTCAGACTTCTGTTGCGGGTCAGGGAGGAGGGTCAGGGAGGAGGTTCAGGGACCAGCTAAAGCTCTCTTTCATTCTTTCCCACTTCCAGATGCACCTGGGTTTAATTTGTGATCCTTTTGGAGTATTCTTTTGTATAATTAGGGTCTATCCTCAGTTTTTTCCACTGCTGCCTTAGGATTTAGTGTTTTCTGAATTCTTGTGGAATTATGCCTTAAACAAATGCCTTAGTTTAGTTGAGTTTCAGGAGGCAGTAAAATTGGACATATATTCAATTTTTACCCAGGAATTTACTTCTACTTTTGAAACCCTTTTTTTCCTCCTACAAACAAGTCAGATATCCTAATAATTCTAAGTATAATATCACTACTATGTATAGTTGAGTCATTTATTTAAGAACATGTGGAGAGTACCTCCATCCTCCATGCCTGGCAGGACCAAGCACTGGGGATACAGCGATGAACAAGACAGCCGAGTTCCTTGCTCTTATGGAGGTCATAGGCTACTGACTACTCAATAACAATTCCTCCCTGACTCCACCTTTGCTTCTAGAGCTCCCCATTGGCCAGCCAAGATCTTGACCATCCTTGCATCAGCTCCCTGTCCTTTCCACAGCCACGCTCTGAGGATTTATATGCTTTAAATACCCACATGGTGAATCCAGTTTTCCATCTTTGGTTCCATGTAAATTTCAGGCCAGCTGGCTCTAGTCACGAATTCTTTCCCCGTCCAGCTCTCTCCTCCCCTCTTCCCTACCAATGTTTGTTGACTCCTTAGTTTGGCCAGGGAGGCCAAGGGGCATGTGAGGTACCCCTAGCTGAATGTTCCTGCTGAATATGCAGCCTGTACTCTGAATCCTGACGCAGAGTCTGACCCACCCTCCTCTTTGTTGCAGGTCAGAGATGTCGTCATCGCTGCAAGCGTTGCAGGAATGGGCTTGGCAGCCATGGGCCTTATTGGAGTCATGTTCTCAAGAAACAAGCGACAAAAGCAATAACTGAAAAAGACTGTCCTGTCAGCGATGACTTTATACATCAAGGGGATCTTGTTTTGCTAGAGTTTGGGGTTTGGTTTGTGGATTTCATTGTGATTTATAATAAGGCTTATTTTCACAGAATAAAATAAAGTACAACGAGGGAGGATTTTATTGGGGGAAATGCAGCAAGAACTGCCTGGTGTGAATTCTGTCCAGGGAACAACTGGGCTCTCTTCCTGGTCAGGGTTTTCTTTCACTTTCTTTTTGTGTTCTTTGCATTGCAGCAAGCAAGGTCCAGCTCCAGTTATCTCAACTAGAGGGCGTTTCTGGTCGTCAGAATACATGTGAGGCGGAAGGGAGACAGACAGACGTAATACACAAGAATAGAAACCAGCAGACAGCTGGGACTCTTGGCCTGGAACTAGATCTGGGATGGCCTCTGAGAATCAGCAGCTGGAGTCTGTAGATGCTCAGCCGAGTTGAAAAAAAAAAAAGTCCTTGGCTATCAGGAAATCTAGTATAGGTGCTTGCCAATCTTACTAAAATTTCCATTATTTTCCTCTGCTCTACACGTCTTCCCTCCGCCTTGTTGCTTCCATCTCCTTGGCACTCCTGCTTCCTCACCGCGTCTGCTTGCCATGATCCCCAAGTCTCTGACCCACATTCCTGCCTGCTCTTCTCCTCCCACATCTGCTCAGATTCTTTCCCTGCAGTCTGTCTGCGGGTCCACGCTCCCAGCGCCACCCCCAGGAGATAATCTGATAGGCTCAGTTCGCCGGCTAACTCAACTTTCCCATTGGCTACCTTTGGGTCAGGTGATCTCCACTAGACGTATCACCTATGCCTGATGGTGGGTCACATGGTGCAAATGTTGCTTGAGAGCTTAGTGGGTTAGGGATTTGGCTGGGCTCATGGCTGACATCCCTGCTGCTGAGCCCTTACGGGTCAGGCTGGGAGAGGGTGCTATGTTGTGTGGATGGTCATTTGAGGTCTTGCAGCTGTTGCTCGCTGGGCTTGGCTGGTGTTCAAAGTGACCATTTTTCTGAAGTGCTTTTTTTCGAGTATTCCTCAGACGTACTCCCCTGGGGCCGACGGTCCGTCCTTCCACAGGGTGGTATTTCCCTACTTGCTTGTGAATGTTTCCTTCATCTCCAGGTTGTCTGGGGACAGTTCTGTCTGTCGGAGGCCTGGGCAGGATTTACAAAGGGCTCCATGCCAGCTCCTTCCACATCTGGTGTAGGGTAAACACCTGCCCATTTATGTCCTAGTGTTGGTAGAAGAATCATTTTCTTTCAGTACAGTCTCCTTTTTTTTTTTTTTTTTGTCCCAGCTCTTTAGATGTAGTACTTAATGCCAGTTCTCAGGCTCCCCAAACTTAAGGGACACAGGTCAATAAGCAGTAGGTCTTTGGAAGCTCCCTGTCTCACATGGTATAAGGTGAGGAGGACACATAGAATGTAAACCTCCAAATTAAGTATGGGGGAAAAAGGAATGAGAAAAACAAACACAAAAAGGCGAAACAAAAACACCTGGTTCAATTAAAAACAACAACCAAACCAAACCAAACCAAAAAACCCAAAACCAAACCAAACCAAACCAAACCAAACCAAAAAACCCAAAACCAAACCAAACCAAAAAACCCAAAACCAAACCAAACCAAACCAAACCAAACCAAAAAACCCAAAACCAAACCAAACCAAAAAACCCAAAACCAAACCAAACCAAACCAAACCAAACCAAAAAACCCAAAACCAAACCACACAATAAACGAGAAAAAAATTACATAAAACAGATGACATGTATAGAAATAAAAAAATAGAATGAGGAACTAATTCCAAATATATAGGTAATCCTAAGTGGACTAAATTTGCAAAGTAAAAGGCAAACATTACACTGGATTAAAAACAAATCTAGGGAATGCAATTTACAGCTGATACATTCAAAATATAAAAACACAGATAAAATATAAATAAAATCAGTACAGTGGTGTCTGCCTGTAATCCCAGCTAGTTGGGAGGCTGAGGCAGGAAGATCCCTTGAGTCTAGGAGTTAGAGAACAGCTTGTGCAACATAGCGAGACTGCCTAAAATATATATATACATATATGTATACACACACACACAAAGACTGAAATGGAAATGATAGACATTTTGCGTGACAACTGGTCTGATGTGTTAAAAAGTTATCCAGGAGAAAAATCGGGGGTATGTGAAAGCTGCCCTAGATAGAAATGTTACATGCAAAACAAGTAAATGTGAAAACTGTAAGAGCTATCTGGGATAATTGGAAATTTTTAAATAGAGACTGGATATTAAAGAATATTAAGGAATTATTTACTTTATTAAGTGTGATAATGGCATTAGGCTTATGCAAACACATGCCCTAATTAAAAAAAAAATGCAGGTAAAGCAAATGTGGCAAAGTAATAAGTTTTTAATTGCGGCAGTGGGTACATGGTAGGTGGGTAGTTATTGGACTATACTAGATTTTCCGGTACTTTCTGTGTGCAAAAAAACTTACCAAACATCTTTAATAATATCTGAAATTGCCGGGCACTGTGGCTCACGCTTGTAGTCCCAGCACTTTGGGAGGCCAAGGCAGGCAGATCACCTGAGGTCGGGAGTTTGAGACCAGCCTGACCAACATGGAGAAATCCTATCTCTACTAAAAATGCAAAATTAGCCAGGCATGATGGTGCACACCTGTAATCCCAGCTACTTGGGAGGCTCAGGCAGGAGAATCGCTTGAACCCAGGAGGCGGAAGTTGCAGTGAGCTGAGATGGTGCCTCTGCACTCCAGCCTGGGCAACAAGAGCAAGATTCCATCTAAAAAAAAAAAAAATCTGGAATTTGAACTTGAGATTTGAAATAAGACTTCTAAATCAACTTTAATAAATCATATAATTTAAAAATTAGAAGATAAAAATGGTATGCTATGTAAATACAAAGAACTGGTGTACTAACTAAAAGCTGGTGTAGTTGTGTTGATATCAGAAAATATAGGCTTTAAAGCAAGTTATTAGTAGACAGAGGACAAAAAGGTTCTGATAAAAGTTTTAATTCACTAGAAATATGTAACTTGCTTGCATTTAATAAACCTCAAAATAATGAAATTTTTGACTGATTGCAAAGAGGAATTCATCATCTGTTGTTTAAAACAGAATACCGGAAAGTGGGTAATTAATAAGAAATGATTTGACTTCTTACAATTCTGGAGGCTGAGAAGTCCAAGGTTAAGGGGGTGCATCTGGTGAGGGCCTTCTTGTTGGTGGAGACTCTCTAGAGTCTGGAGGCAGCACAGGGCATCACATAGTGAGGAGGCCGAGTCTGCTAGCTCAGGTCTCTCTTCCTCTTTTTATAAAACCACCAGTCCCATTCCTGTGATAAACCACTAATTCGTTAACTCATTAATCCACGAATGGGTTAATCCATTCTTGAGGGCAGAGCCTTTATGATCCCACCACCAATTAAAGGCTCTCCTCTTCTGTCCTCCCCTCCCCTCCCCTCCCCTCCCCTCTCCTCCCCTC